GTTATGAAAGGAAAAATAAATGCAAATTAAAAGAAGAATAACAATAAAAATGAAAACTAGCAAACTAATTAAAAGTAAATAAATAAATAAAAATGAATGTTATATTTAAAAGAATGGGTAAAGTCACGGAAATGTTAAATGGAAACTAAAGAGAACTATAAAACAAAACCAAAATAAAAGAAAACGGAATGGACAAGAGTTATTAACAAAAGAAACAGAAGAATGCAAAAAGAAAATGTACAAAATAAAAGTTATATAACAAAACTTAAAAGAAACTGACAAAACTTAAAGACTCAACAACACGTTTTAAAATCTAATAAACTAAAGAAATAGAAGACACAACATAAAGTGTTACAAAAGTCAAAGACAACCAATTACGGACACAACTAAGCAAATAAAACAAAGATGTTGTCAAAAGGTTTTTTTTTTTTTTTTTTTTTTTTTTTTTTTTGCAACCAGCAAAACAAAACCCAACAATTCTAATCAATAAAAACGTAATAATACATATGTAATACTAGCAAAGCTGAAAGGAAAGAAAAAAAAAATAACTGTCAAACCAATTAAGTAAACGGAAAACAAAATGATAGTCAGACTCAGACAACATTCAACATTTTTTTTTGAACGAATAAAAAAATAAAAATAAAAAAGAAAACCTATCACACTAATGAAGAAAACTTAGCAAACCGCAGGAAACTGAAAAATGACCACAAGCTTAATACGACAAAGTAAAGGTTTTCTTTTTTTTTTTTTGTTTTTTTGTTTTTTTTGAAACCGGCCAAACAAAAAAAAAAAGTAAAATAGATAAAGGACTAATAGTACCCAAAAACAAAAAACGCACACACTAAAAAAAAAAACTAACAAAACCACTAAATCACACTAAAAGACAAAACCAAAGAAAATGAAAACAGAATATACAAATCACACTAACAAAAACGTACAAACCAAATCAAATCAGTAACAAAAAACACACGACTAGAAACTAAAAAAAAATAAAGTGAAATTAAAATAAATAAATAAATAATGTACGTACCTCTTTAACTAATTATCTATTGAACAATCTTGTTGACACACCTCCCGGTAACGGCACCAAACTTTGGTTACGCCCAAACATATACAAAACAAGCGGTCAATTGTAGCACAATTAAGATGGTCGATCCCACGAGGAAGTGACAAATCGAACAAGAAACGATTAGCAAATAAAAAGCTTTAGGAGATAAATAATAAAATAAAAATAAAAGAGAATGAAATTTTTGTTGAGAAGTTAAAGTATAAGAAAAATATAGGAGAAAATTATATAATTAAAACCGGTAAAGCGTCGAGATTCCCCTATATGCTTCGTTCACCCGAATGGATTTTGATCCTTGAGATTACTCAATTGAAAGTTTCACATCCCAAACTAACAATCGGAAAATATATATTTGAAGAACATGTGAATTAAAATGTATTCGAGTGAGTAAAATTCTTACGTTTAGTATTAGGAAAAATCATCTTAAGAGAAATCTAAGAGCGACAATATACCATTGGCAATATCGCAGTAAAAGACTACTCATAAAACAATATCTATCAATATATAATATCATGCAACAATCACATAAAAAGAGCTTGACTAGATTTATATAAAAGTTGACAATAAAATATATCAATATGAGAAATTAGAAGTAGATAGAAGAAAATTAATCACTCAAATATATAAACTTTGAAGAACAAATGGAGAATTAAAATCCACTCAAGATCACTTCACATATAAGTTTCTCTCTAACCTCACCAAAGAGAAAAAATATGTCTAAACTTAGGCTCGAAAATTAACAACCTAACCACCTTGACATGACCCTATTTATAGAGTTTTTGGGCCATGCCTAAAAGCCATCAGCAAATGAAAACCATAGGAAAAAAACTGATTCCAAATTAATTGGAATTAACACGGTTTAATGGAGAATGAAGGCTGAGTTATCCGTGAAATTCAACGGAACAAAACGGGCTGAAGAATCCCAACAGGTGGGACACGTGGCGCGCGGAGAAGAAGGAAACGTTGCTCACCGTGGACATGTGGCAAGCTCTGATTAGCGGAGAAGAAGGTTCTACACAATGGGGTCCACACGGAGTAAAGACTTGACGCGCGAGAGGAAGGAAATCACCCAGGGGGAAGGGCGGTGCGTGCCAAGCGCGCTTGCTGGCGTGGGGAAGCAACGGGGGAGCAGCTGGGGCCCGCGCCTGGTTCGTGTAGTCCACGACACGTGGCAGCTGGGATGGGCTCGCTGCTTCTCGGCTCGGCTCGGCTGGATGATGGGCTGATGCTCTTCTGACTTTCTGGGCCGAATTTGGGCGTTTCTTGGGCTCAACTTTTGGGTTTTTCTTGATAAACTAGACCAAATCCTAATTGTTTTCTTTAAAAACCTGAAAAATAAAATAAATCCAATTAAAATTAAATCCTCTAAATTTAGGAATATTTGAAATTAAAATCACAAATTTGATAAACTAATTTGACAATTATGAACATTAAAAGTGCAAATGTGTGCACTTATCAATCCCCGACTAAAGCATCGGAGGGGCGCTAGACGTAGAAGCCTCCTCCTCGTCTGGCTTGCCTTCGATCAGGCGGTCGATGCTGTCCTCATCGTCCCAAGGATTGGGGATATAGTCCTCGATCTTTCTTAGCATCGGATCACTGTTGGTGGAGAGAGAGGAAAATTCGGTGGCTGGAGAAGGATCCAGCCTCACAAGTGGCACGGACGATGGTCTCCCTCGACGGTTAATCCTTTTGGGTGCCACGACTGTGAAGGAAAAATCTAAGGTCAATATCTTATAAGCCGAGAGGGGAGAGGAAATAAGTTCGGTGTCTAAAAATGCTAAACAAGCTTAGTGGAGTAAAGTTAAGGCTAAAAACGACGACTGTTCAAGTAGGCGACGATGATTCTAACCTAAACATGATCAAGACGACGACTATTCAAACAAAACGTCGACCATTCAAACGAACCCAGAAAGCCACACAAGAGTCCAGGCCCACAAAACTCAACAGACCCACTCAAAACTCGCATAACCAATCCAAAACATTGTGAAAAACATTAAAACCAAGTTCTAGCACCCCTATTACGCCATTTTCAACCATCCCCCATCCCAAGTAATCCACTGCAAAACCAGGACACAAATAGAAAATCCAGGCAAAAAAGTAAACACACAACACACCACGATAGACAACAAAATGGAAGAATGGAGAAGGGATGCTTACCAGAAAACTAAGAGCGAGAGGGGCGCAAGAACTTGGAGTGAACTTCCCCGAAGAATCACGAGTTTGCGAGTGGGGAGTATGAAGAGCGGTCCT